TATATATATTTAAGTCATTTTCATATACATACATTTGTGCATAGATGAACCAATGATTTAAAAAATATGTCTGATTTTGAAATCTTAGACCTGATTTAAATAGTTTAATTAGGATCTTTAGGTCAAAGAAACTTCTGGAGAAGAGCGAATTTCAGCTGTGAAATGCACACAATTCTTTTCTAACACTGGAAACACCTGAGTTAGTGCTGCAGCCTTCCCCTCTTGCCCTTCCTCAGCTGCTGCTTCTGTCTACACCTGCCCCTCTTCAATAAACTCTAGCCCAAGTCCTCCCTTCAAGGCTATGCTGAACTGTCACCTCTCCCCAGAAGCTTCCCCAGTTCCTTGGTCACAACAAATGCGTCCCCCTCCCTTAGCCTCTTGATGGGTCTCACTACTGGTCTGGCAACTGAGGGGTACAGGGTCTACACTCTGTTCTGCTGCACAGAGACTAAGAGCACGCATGGCCTTCAGAGCCATGCTACCAGGGTTCGAGTCCCAGCTCCACCATTCTCTTGCTGCAAGACCCTGGGCAAATTCCTTAATCTCCCATGCCTCTGGTTCTTCATCTGTACCTTGGGGATGAACTGTACTCTTACCTCATAGCATTAGGAAGGATAACGAATATGAAGAGCTGAGAATGGTGCTTGGCATATAGCGAGTGTTATGTAAAAGTGAGCTATTATTAGTTTTCTGTGTGAGCATTGTACTAGTCACTGCCATGCAGATCTCTTGTCATCTCTCCTCAGCCTCTACCGCCCCATTTCACACATCTGTCATAGAGAACTTTTCTAGTACTGATCATGGGTCTTCAATAGCTCCCCATTGCCTTTAGATCAGTGCTTAAGAGAATGGGTTCTATTTGTCTGGGTCCAAATACCCTACCAGGCGTGTGTCTTTGGACAAGGTACTTAACCTCTTAGTGACTTAAACTGTCTTCATTTGGAAAATGGAGATGTTAATAATAACTCATAGGGTTGTTGTGAGGAGGGAGTAGGTACATGAATGTAAAACACTAACCAACTACTTTATACTTGATAGGTGTTCCAAGATGTTAGCTATCACTGTCGTTAGAGTACGTGCTCAGTAAACATTTGCTGGATTGAACTAGATCTATTCCAGGCTATGTATGTCAAGCAGAAAACAACAACAAAAAAAAAAACAACAAAAAAACCCCCACAAACAACCACAGACACACACAAAAGCAAAAACAAAAACAAACAAAGAACGGATGTAGCTTTGTAGGAAACTGTGGCTAAGTCTTCCCTGTTAGAATGGCATCAGATCAGCCCCGCCCTCTCTCCCTCCCTCCCCCTTCCATCCTTCCCCTTTTCCTCCTCACACATGCAGAATTCTAAGATCTGCCTTAAACTTGGCTATGCATTATTCACTGGCCATCTGTATTTTCCTTCTTTTGAACAGTGAAAAGGCCCGTGTCATTTATCTCTTAAAGCTGCTTCTTGCTGAATGCACATATGTCCATTAGTGGTGACTTTGGATGGAATGGTGTTTGTAGAGGCCCATCTCAAACGAGCCCCATTTAATGTGAGCTGTGACTTCCCAAGCCTGCTCCTCATTAGCGGTTCCTCCTTATTTCTTCCCATAGTTCAGACATAAGATGCAGCTGAAAACACTTTTTACCAAGCCTCTACTGAGGCGGTTGCAAAACGGAGCATGCAAGCCTGGTATGAGGGAAGGAGAGGAGCTTGGCAGAGGCACCAAAGAGGAAAAACAGGTACCACATTTCCTGGATTCCCCGATGAGTTTTTCCTTTTCCCACTTCAGTGTTTGTGAAATCGGAATGCGTCTTAAGTCCTTGCATGAATTTTGAGCCGTGTGTCTCCCCTCCTCCCCAAGCTGAAAAGTTGCTATTGAATTGATGGTACATTTTAAAAGTGAGGAAATGTGGCACTTTTGAATGGAAAAAAAAAAAAGTTGCCTAAAGGTAAGAAAGACTGCATTAACTTTTGAGAAAAATGCAGCAAGCCAGCTTAGAGGTGTGCAGGGGATAAGACAGTTCTTAACCACAGGGAGGGACAAGATGTCTGAACAATCTGTGGCCCTGCTGTCCTTGGCCAGGCAGAGCCCTGGCTAGCTCGGAATCGGCACCTTCTCCTGGCAATAACTCAGTCCGAGCATAAACACCGTGAGTGTGTCCCAACCCACTGCTATAGGTGCTGGTGGGGAAGGAGCTGCAAGATACTGCTTCTCTTTCTTCTGACCGAGAACCACTACTGTTCTTTGAGCTTCTTTAAAGGCACTGTATTACATTTGGGAGTAGAAGCGGTTGTGGAAATATACAGTTATTTTCTTATGGTAAATCCAAGTGCCAGTTATTAAATAATTAGTTAATGAATCCAGCAAGAACTTACTGAGTTGTATTATGGGCCTGGCCCATGTTGGGCCCTCTGTGTACCCTGTACAGGGATTGTCTGGGCAACGCTTATGAGGCAGCTACGGTAATTCGGCCCCACTTCCCAGCCCCAGAGACTGAGGCTCAGAGAAGAGTGACTCCACCCAATTCACACAGGTAGGAACTGAAACCGTAGGCACAGAGATCCCCCAGTCTGTCTACTCCAGAGCTTTTTTCTGCTCCTTGCACTGCCTCACACCATTCAACACGGCTTCAAGTTGCTTTCGTTTCCTCAAGGAGAAAATCAAGGGCCCCCATGATGCGGTGGCAGAGTCAGGACTAGAATCTGGGCCTGTGACTCCCAGCCCAAGCCTCTTTTTACTACTTGTGTCAAAGCTTTTGGGAGCACAAAAAGCCATCAGGAGAGTGGCGAAAAAAATCAAGGCTCTCCCTAGTGATAGCTTCTTCTTTTTTTCATGCTTACTAGATCCAGTGAAGTTGTGAGCTCCATCCTGGGTCACCACCTCCCGTGAGGACAACCAAGGCAGACAGTCTGCAGCCAGATTTCATCACTGTGATTTCCCTAAAGCTCAAAGATCAACTCCTACCAGGGATTACTTGATGAACGCAGACGAGAAGGGCCTTTTCTCTGTGGAAGCCTAGAGAAGGCACGGACTGTTCTCACCTGAGCTTCAGGGAGGACTTCTCCATGCCTAGGTCCCTTTCATGGTTAGGCATAATCATTATTGTCCTTTGTCCTCACCCACACCAGTGTGAGAGCAAGCCTTTAACCTGGGAGCCATTAGAATGGCGGAATAGTGAGGGCATCTGGATTAGCAGCTAGTGGACTGTCGACCCTTTGTTCTCATGATGATGGGATGAGACAAGGGACTGTCACTCTGAGGCTTCTGGGAGAGAATATACAGGACTCGGGCTGGTGTGTTTTGCACATTCGAATGCAACACAGAGAGAAACCAGTTGCAATGCTCTGCTACTAAAGCTGCCCGGCTCTAGTAGCAGCTTGTTTCTGGTATCATCCTCTTGCAAAGGGGTCTCTTCACCCCCCTGCCTCAAAGTCCCCACGCCTCCCACCCGGCTCACCTTGCAGCAGTGTATAGAAGGCACCGGAAGCAGACAGGTTGGTGGTTATGGTGACATCATCCTTGCTGGAGGTCTCTACCTGGACATGCACTGAGCTGTCCGTATCGCTTCGGAAACTGCTCACCTGGCCAGTGGGGAAGGTCACATTTGTCAGGCGGCCAAAGCTGTCATACCTGAAAACCAAGGGGTGGCTCTGAGTAACGGAAATATAATGGTGCCATGGCCGGAACTTGGCGCGTTCCACCTGGTGCCACAGTTTTGCACGTTCTGCTTTTCTCTCTGGTTAGATACACTGCCGTGTCTCCTACACCTCCTTGCACACAGTTTCCAGGAAGGGCCTCCACTGGTTGACATCTGACCGCAGGCAGAGGACTTACCTCTCTGAGTCTTCCTCTGCTAATTCTATAAAGCAGAGATGACAGCCCCTGCCCTGCCTCCCTCCCAGGATTACTGCGAGGAACCTGCGGCAGGGGCCTGTGGCTACAAACTTACACCCACCCATGTGGTGTGACAAGATGGCGGCCATCTGAGGCTGCTGACCCAAAGTCTTAAAGCCAGGGCACTCCCAGAGGTGACAGGGTCAAACTTGATGCTTGAATAACCCTCTCAAAACCCAGAGAAATGGTTATACAGGCTTTTCCTGAACACCACAAGAGATGGGGCTTCCTACAAAGCTACGGACCCTGGAGAGAGGGGGCTCTGAATTCAAACCAGGACTCTGCTCCCATATAAGGAGGCTAAACAGACGAGCTCTTGCAACCTCTTCCCGTCTAGATTTCACGTCAGGCACCAAGCAGTTACGCATATATCTGCAGTTGTCAGGACTCACAGCTTTGCTCTGCTGGCATCTTTTTGAAGCGTCACAATTGAATCTTAATTCCCTTTTCCATCTCTGATAATAATAAAAGAGATGCCTACCATTACTGAACACCCACAACATATCAGGCATAGTGCTTTTCATACATCCTTTCCCTTAATCCTTGCTACTAGTCTAAACGGTATAAATGATCTTTTTGGAGGAGGTTCAGAAAAGTGGAGTCACCTGCTCAAGGTCACACAGATAGTAAGTGTGGTGGAGTCAAAACTCAAAGTCAGATTTATCTGCTTCCAGGGTCCCACTTGCTTCTCTGCCTTGAGTGAGCATTTCTGTAGCGTCCGTTTGCAAACCTCTGTTGGTGTGCCCTACCTGCGGCAAAGTGGCTGGGAGATGGTAGGGAGTAGGCTTTTAACACTCAGTTACAGTTTTTAATTGCGGGAGGCTGAAGTGCAAAAAGGTAGGTATAATAGCCTTTTTGCACCTGTGTGCGAATGGGAAAAAACTTCTTCATCCAGATGTTAGTGTTTCTGACTTCTAGTCGTACTGAAGCTCACATGCAAGTTCAGTTTTGTGTCTCCCTGGTGGACTCTTCCCCCGGCTTTGCTCTCACTATTGCCGTGAAGCTGGCCTCTGGGCCCCGAGGGATTTGATGGCTGGCCAAATGAAAGGCTCCAGAGTTCAGCTCAGTCCTGGCTCTTCCCATGATCCTCCAGCTGCACCTGGTTTCCTGATGCCTCGGGTGCTGCTGCTTCGACCGCTTCAGGTGAGACTTGGGAGGTGAGACCAGATTGGTGTTGCTGAGCAATTTTTTGCCCAAGGTCAGATATAGGTGCTGCATGGATTGTGCCTTCTACCAACTCTTTCTGTCCCTGTGCCTGGTACTAACCGTGGGACTCTTTACGCTGAATGCCAACAGTCCCTGGCCGGGACAGTCTGCCACAGACAAAGGTGCTGGTTACATGAATCACCCAGGTCCTTGACCCAAGACTAACTCTGGGGGAAATTGAATCTCTCGGTTGCTGAGGCCTGAGGAAGGGGGATGCAAGCGCTTTCCAGGATGGCAACAACACAGATCTGTACCACATACCTTGGGCTTGGTCTCAGCTGGGCAAGGGTGTGGGCTGTATCAGTCCTTGGGCTCTCCTATAGGTACCTTTGGCGCTTTGGAAAACTGTTTCTTGTCACGATTTCTCATTTTTCTTCCTTAGTACGGAGTCAGAGTCTTGTAAGAAAATGTCAGTCTGGCTTAGGGGAGGGTGACCATGTGGCTTAAAGCCCGGATTGGAGGGTCACAGGTGTAAGGTGCCCCTCAGAGCTGGGTGAGGAGGTGATTCTGAGACACTGCTGCTAGGAAGGAGGGTGAGTCTTGGGGTGAAGATCTGGAAGTTTGTCCTAAAGCCTCTCTCTCCTGGAGATGCTCTCAGAGCTCTGCTCCCTTTAACTCTAGGAGAGGCGGTTTTCTTTTCAACTCTTTGTGGCTGCTGGAAATTTGAATAGGAAGGGATTGTACAAAAATGTACGATTTTTAGAGTGGTTATCTCTGGGAGGTAGAATTACTGGTGGTATTTTATATCCCAAAGATCTTAAAATAATGACCATGGATTATTTTCATAATCAGCAAAGTGCTGTGACAACCCAAATACTGCCATGTACAGAGAAGTCATGAGCGTGGCCATCTTGGGGGAAGAGGCCCTTTTAAATTACTGGCATTTGGGGCACCTGGGTGGCTCAGTCACTTAAGCATCTGACTTCAGCTCAGGTCATGATCTCATGGTTTGTGAGTTCAAGCCCCATGTCAGCCTCTGTGCTGACAGCTTGGAGCCTGGAGCCTGCTTCAGATTCTGTCTCCCTCTTTCTCTGCCCCTCCCCGACTTGTTCTCTGTCTCTCTCTCTCTCCCTCTCTCTCTTTCTCTCTCAAAAATAAACATTAAAAAATTTAAATTACTGGCATTTATGGAAGTCTCACATACAGGACATCTGCCAACACCTATCTCCAGACCTTTACAGTAAATATTACTAGGGTACCCTAAATTTCTGAGCTCAAAATCAAGACCCACCCTGCTCCCACCCCAGAAACTGGCTCAGCCCTGGTCACTGTACTTATGTCTGTGGGCTATGAGTATTCTGAGTCTTGTCAGATCCTGAATTACCTTAAATCGGCAGGAAGACCCATTTCAGTTCAACAGGTTTATGGGATGGATATGCTATTCTAGTCTGGTTCTCTGAACACCTGTTATCCATGTACATACTCTTTATTGAGACGACTTAGAGTATCTAATTTCCTGATCTAACTGGATACAAAAGATTTTATTACATCACGCAAGATACTTAGCAAGGAGTTTTAGGGGCGCCTGGGTGGCTCAGTCAGTTAAGTGTCCGGCTTCGGCTCAGGTCATGATCTTGGGGTTTGTGAGTTCGAGCCCTGCGTTGGGCTCTGTGCTGACAGCCTGGAGCCTGCTTCAGATTCTGTGTCTCCCTCTCTCTCTGCCCCTCTCCTGCTCACACTCTCTCAAAAATGAATAAATGTTTTAAAAAAAGGAGTTTTAGAGTTTTAAAAATAACAATTGATAGGGAGATCATGGATTAGGGGTCACATGTCACTTCAATACTGCTTTAATATGGCCTTGCTCCAATGACACCACGTAAAGCTTTCCCTGGTTTCTCTCTTGTCCCTTCTCCCAGTAATACACTGGCAGAGCTGCATCGCAGAATGGGTCCCCTGCTCTGTAACAGCTCACGTACAAGCTGTCACCTGCTTCAGCCTGGGGTGCTTAAGTCAGGACAGGACTGTGGTGTCAGACAGGCTGGGAACGTTAGTTGAACAAATGAATGACTGCACAATTGGATACGTGAGGCCCCTTTGTTGCTCTGTGGGGAAGGGGAGACATGATTCATTTACATACACACTATCTCCTGTAGGACTTGAGAGAGGCCTGATGCACAGTGGGTACCTGGCAAGCATCTGATGAACGCACACAAAGACGGAAACAGCTACTCTCACTAAATGATACTTCAGCAATCTCCATAGGCATCTCCCCAGAGCTCCGGTCTCCAAGACAGAAAGAGCCTTTGCATGAAGGCAGACAATTGTAATTATTATTGAAGGTAGCCTGTAATACATAATTAAATTGAGCTTGAAGAAGATACAATGAAAAGCCTCATGCCATCAAGATCTGGTTTTCATTTTATACGAGATGGCCGAAAACCAGTAATTTCCACTCCTTACATTTTCCATTAGAGGGACCGAATGTCTTAATTAAATGAACATCAAATAGAACAGCCAATTTATAGAATTTTCTTGTCTCTTATTCATTCATTTCAGTGCCTTCCAGAGCCTGGGAAATGCCACTGGATCTCCCTGCTGCCTGATCAATACCTGTGATTAGCCCATCAGAACACTGCTGTTTCTGGCTCAGCAGGGAAAAACTGGAGTTGCCCATCTGGGGAACCCTGAACACCTAGGTGCCACGCCCCCTCTGTGGAGCCCTTTCTCTTCCTGCTACAGAGCTGCTGACAGAAAGATAGCACCACTGGACAAGTTGGGACAGTTTTCCCCCCTCTCTGGATTCCAAGTGGCTGCTTCAAACCCTGGCCCTGAGATTGGGTGACTTTGGGACAGTGGCTTAGTTCTGTCTGTTTTGGCTCTAAAGAACTGGCAAATTTCTTTCTTTCTAACCAAGAGGAAGGAACATGTTAATATGGGAAAGCCCTTGGAGTCAGACGTTCTAGGCTTTGAATACAGGCTCTACACTTGCCAGCAATGAATGATAACCCTAGAGGATGGGCACTCAGTTCTCTTTTCCTGTGAACCATCAACCCCCTACAAATGACATGATTTCAGGCAGGTTATGTAACACAACCTCTGGGAGCTTCTGTTTTCTCCTCTATAAAATGAAGACAGTAACACCTGTCTCAGGAAGATACTGTGAAGTTCAAATAAGGTAACATGCTTAAAATGAAATGCAAATTTTTCATCAGGGCCTGCAGGACCACAGGAGACTGCCTTCCCCACCATGTCGACTCCCTGATGGGAGAAGGGACTTTGGTCGCAAATGTATCCCAGAATTTAGAAGAGTGCCTGGCATGTAGTCGATATTCAATAACGTAAAAGAATGTTGGCTGAAGGACCTCCTCTTTCCCGCTTCTCTTTCCAATTTCACTTTGAACTCTACTCTTCCATACTTCCTGTGTTCCACTGCATCTGCTTCCATTCTCCAAACACGCCACGTTCAATCCAGGCTCAGAGTGCTCACACTTAGTGTTCCTTTTGCAGAGAGTGCTCTTCCCTCCAATCTTTGTATGGCTAGTTCCTTTCATTACTCACATTTCAGTTCAAATGTTATCACTTCAGTCAGG